TCCCCCCCCCCCCCCCCAAAAAAAAATCTTGTGTTTGTGTTGTGCCAGGGTTGATTGCACCACAGCTGCCAGCAGCCGGACCAGCATGGGACAGGGTGCGATGCAGCATGCTGAGTAGCTGTCCCACCTGCCTGCCACAGTGAGCCGTTGCCACTGTGCTGCATTAGGAAGGTCAGGGGCAGCTCCCCTGGGCCAAGCCCCATCCCCCACCTGCGCGACCAGCATAGACACCTCCTAGTGGCAACGTGGCAGCAGCACCTCATTGTGGCAGGCAGGTGAGACAGCTACTCAGTGCACTGCATCATGCCCTGTCCTGTGCGGGCCTGATGTCTGTGGTGCCAGGACTGCGCAGCACCAACAGAAAGTAGGGTGAAGGGTTGGGAAATGGTTACTGGGGGAGTCAGCGGGCAGTGGAGGAGTCTCCTCTGCTGCACAGCCTAACCCAGCCCCAGCTGTGGCAGAACAGAGCAGTGGGAGGCACAACTGTCTCTCCTCAGCCTCCCGGCAGTGGCTGGCGGGCTGGATAGGATCAATTGGCAGACCGGATATTGTCTGCAGACTGTGTTTGCACACCCCTGTTTTAGATTTTGGTATGTAGGGGATGGTGTGGGGTAGGGATGATCCTGCCTTGGGCAGAGGGTGGGACTAGGTAACTTCTGGAGGTTCCTTCCAGCCCTATTCCTCTATAGTTCTATGAATTATAAGACAGTGTTTCCTATGAGCCTGGTGGATGGTGGTCTGGAGACTGGTGTTCCTGTTGTGTTCTTCCTTTTTAAGTGTGACCTTGCACTGGGAAAATATTCTGGCTTGTCAGTTGTGAAAGCTGAGTCTCTTAGCCACAGGAAGGATCAGTGGAAAGAGAATGTGGGTATGTGATGTCTTGGCCTTCAGGATCGTGACCTGATAGCTTTTGTAGTCACATGACATAGTCAATATATGCATACACTTTGAGCATATAGGAATAACTTAATAAGAGTTGTAGCTTGTTTTCCATTGCAGTTATTTTCTATTTATCCTCCTACCTGTGCAGTCTACAATTTCCTCTGCATGTGCACATGCATGTGTGAGACTGTCATAATCTTCTGCTTGAAATTTCTGCTTTACTTCTTGTTGACTGGGGGAGACATTTTTTTAGATATGCCACGAGGTATGCTAGCCTGCTCTTTGGTTTAAACAATGACAGCAAATGACCTTTGAGCTTAACAACTCTGAGAGTCTTTCTCTACAAAGAAGCTATTTCTGTGTAGCATTTGCATGCTCAGTAGGAAAGCTGCTTAGATCTGGGCCTTTACTTTGAATCTGTTGGTAGAAAGAGCTAAGCCTATCTTCCCTCTAATTTTAGAGTCTCCATTACTATTTTAACAACTTGCACCCCTAAGTACTTTAATCAGGCTCTTAGCTTAGGATATTTTAATGGACTATATGGTCAAATAATGACTATAGGGACTGTTATTTTGGATTAGTCTAGGTGACTATCTGGTTTAATATCCTCTCTTTGAACTGCTTAATCTATTTTAAGGTTCCCTACTAATTCATTCAGAGCTGCTATGGCCCAGCTGTTTACACCTCATTAATGCTTCTTACTTTTTTTTACTGTGAATAATTTATCCTGCTAATATCAGCCTTGAAATTAACAGGCCGGAGGCAGTTTCACGGTTTCCAACAGAACAGCACTGACAGCAGCTGAGATGGGTTGGAAGGATTAACTGCCCACTGCACACATTGGGGAACTTTCTGATTGTTGGACAACTCCACTGTATGAGGGTTAGGTTGTGTTCATTCAAATGAATCGTCATTTTTAGCTCCCGCCAAGTTCTAGGCCTTGATGTCATGTGGTTAAATAAGGTGTTTAAAAATCAGTAAACCTATTTTTTATATAATGGCATCAAGTTTGGAGTATTTTGTGTTCTATCCTTCATCCATCCTAACCTTTTGTTGTCTTTTAATATTGTTAACATTGGCTTTTAATCCATCATCCATCCTCAGGGCCACCAGTGTCTTCCCTGAGTGTGTGCAGTTAACTTAGGAAGCAAGTGATGTAAATGACACTGTGTTTTAAATACAAAGGTTTGTGACCAAAAAGGAATAATAATAAAAAAAAAAAAGTAATGCCTAACTTAATATAAGCAATGGTCATAAAGTATATAGTATTGTCAGTGCTGTGGTATTGACTGCCTTCACAAGAGTTCCTCAGTTTGAAGGCTTGTAGTAGTCAGCTTGTTTCAGGACTGCTATTAGGAGTCTTGAAGATGTGGGAGGAGAGCAACCCCAAAGTGGCCAGTTTCTGTCATTTTTCAAGGCTTCTAATAGCGGTTTTGTGACAGCTGCTTCCTCTGCCATTTCTGGTGTTGGTTAGTGTGCAGCTACTAAGAGAACAAATACATCACAAAGTAGGGAGTGGAACTCTAAAGTCCTCTGCATTTAAGCGAGTTATGCATGTAACTGATAGCATATGTTTGTTTTTAGTGACAACAGTAGACAAAAGAATAGGCATTGGCATTGTATTATGCAGCTAAGTGAACAATATATTTAAATAATATGCATGTGAGAGGAGTACACTATAGTTCGAATTATTCTTTCTAACTATTCAGCTATCCAAGGACCCTTCCATCCTATAAAGAAAAATATCTAAAACAATATGTAGTGGAATTTCTCATGATCAAAGTCTGGAAATTCAAGGTTTTTCTTCTCTTCTCCACATAAGCAGTTGGCAGTGCTTTTGTAGGAGCAGGCCAGAATAGCCCCGGTTGGATCCTAGACAGACTGGCTCTAGGACTTGGCTGCTGCCACTACTTCCCCCTGCTATGTGGCATAGGAAAGTTCCCTGCTACCTGACTTCAGTGCAGTGCAGCATAGGTGAATGGCCTGCCACTGAGGCCCCTTGCTACTGAATGCCACCAAAGCCCCAGGTCTACTAGCGGATCCAGTGGCCAGATC